GATAGATAGATAGATAGATAGATAGATAGATAGATAGATAGATAGATAGATAGATAGATAGACAGATAGATATTATACATAGATATGCATACACACACACACTAAGATAGATAGAGAGAGATAGAGAGAGAGATAGACAGATAGACAGATAGACAGACAGACAGACAGACAGATAGATAGATAGAAGAGAGATAGATAGATAGATACTGTAGATAGGTAGACAGACAGACAGACAGAGATGGATGAGAGAGAGAGAGAGAGAGAGAGATGGAGAGATGGTATACTGTTTCTGTGTATGTGTTTCTGTGTTTGTGTGTGTGTGTGTGTGTGTGTGTGTGTGTGTGTGTAGGCGTGGATGGCCTACACACACACACACAAGATGCTGAGCTTATCTGCTGGAAAGCTAACAGCCCAGGTTCGAGACCCAAGCGCTGCGCGACAGGGTGAGTTCCCGTTCCTTGCTTCAGCTCCACCTAACAGTTTCGAAAGCATGAAAATGCGAGTAGATTAATAGATGCCATTTTGGTGGGAAGGTAACAGTGTTTGTCACGCCTTGGCATATCTATTGGAAATCTAGATCAATGACTAGTTTACAAGCCAGTGAAAAGGTCCTGACTCACAAATACTGCATTTCTTGACCTTTTTATAGTAACTGCAAAGAAATCATTATAACATTTACATGCAGAAGATCCCTACCTCATTCCCCAATATTCCACCCAGATGGGATGGGGAATTATTGTTTTCTTCCCAACAATTAAATAGCAGAGAGAAAGATAACTGGACTGAATACTGTAATGGCATATGGGAATGACCTTGGAAGAAGGAGGAAAGCTGCATCTAGGGCAATGGTGGATAAAAGGCAGATGAGTCTGCAGAGGCAATGGGGACATGGAAACATATCAGAAGAAACCCTCCCTAGTTTCTGGGGCTGTACAGGTGGGTGGAAGGAGAAGAAGCGCTTATACAGTTGTAAAATTCTGTTAATGCAACCTTGCAATACAGTAGAGCTAATATTTTGGGATAAGCTTCTGGTGCGGACCACATCACAAAGCTGACCCACCTACAAAGTGGTTTAATATGCTAAGAGTGTGCTCCCCTACACATTTAACCTAGTTACTTAATTAACTACTTTTCTAAGTGTTCTAAATACATTTAAACTGCCAACTGCCCAGTCGAAACTCTTGTATGCCACAGAAAAATGAACAGGCTAAAAATAAATAAACTTTGGTGGAGTCCTTGGTGTTCTCTGAGCTTGATCGTTTTGTCGCAGACATTTTTTTACCCAACTAGGTAACATCATCAGGGCTAGAAGGGAGTGTGGTTTGCTTGCTGCTTATATCTAAGTGGTTTGTCATTGTTGGTGCGAGTGTTCCTAATAGTTCCCTGATTAGACTGGCAGGGCAAGGTCACTTGGACATAAACCAAGAGCAAACCCCACTCCCTTCTAGCACTGATGATGTTACCTAGTTGGGTAATAAAACGTTTGCAAGAAAACCACCTAACTCAGAGAGCATCAAGGGCCCCAGAGTTCAACCCCAAACTGCAAATATTCCCTTCTACTGGTATTAAACTTAAGGCGGTGGCCACACAATTAACATCTAGTTAAGTGTGTTGATATAACCACCGTGAAAACACAGAGGAAGGAAACAAAACTTACAGATTATGGGTGGTGGTGGTGGGAATAAAAAGGAAATGTGCAGTGAAGTAGAAAAGCCATCAACTGAGAAAATATGAGAGACAATGAAATTTGCATTCGATTGCAGGAAGCACAGTTGTCTAAGGCAGAGGTCTCCAAAGTTGGCAGCGTTAATACTTGCAGACCTCAACTTCCAGAATTCCTCATGCTGGCTGGGGAACTGTCAGAGCTGAAGTCCACAAGACGTACAATTGTCAAGTCTGGAGGGCTCTAGTCTAGAGTGTAAGTAATTTGGTTGCTAATCTAGCACTAGCACTAGCATTTAGACTTATATACTGCTACCACAGTGCTTTACAGCACTCTCTAAGCGGTTTACAGAGTCAGCAAATTGCTCCCAACAATTTTTGCCCACCTCGGAAGGATGGAAGGCTGAGTCAAAACCTTGAACCTGGTGAGATTTGAACTGCCAAATTTCAGGAGGCCGGCAGCCAGCAGAAGTAGCTTACATTACTGCACTCTAACCACTGTGCCACAGTGGCTCATATCTGTGTTTACATCATGCCAGGCCAGGCTAATGGCAAAAATCAAGTATTCTTCTAACTTAGGAAAAACCAGTGACCAGAAATAGCTGTATAAATGCAAGATAATTCAAATATTTGCTGACCAACTGAATTTCACCGCAGTACTCACCTGCTGTCTTCTACAGTAGCTTGAAAATATCTTTTCTTAATCTGTGGGTCAGAGGAGGAGGTCAAAAAAGTCAAGAGGACTTCCACAATGGCGTGATTGAAGCTTCCATCTTGATTTTTTTTAACCATACCCTTCAGATACTTCTGTGGTGACAATGCCCAGCACAATTTGATATGCATGTAAAAGAATACACAATCCTTGGTTTGACGGCCTACACAAGGTAGTTTTTGCCATATTTTGTAGAGGTTTGTCATTTAAGGAAACCTGTTTTGCACGCAATACAGAAAAGCTGAGTGAGTTTCATTCCAAAACAGACTGAGGAGAAAAACAACAACAACGAGAGCCACAACGTGACACACAAACACCCATTCACATGCACTGCATACCTGGAGGCACCATAGGTTTGTGGTTGTGAGCTTTCAAGTATTTTCAAAAAAGGAGAGGAAAAAGGAGGAGGAGGGGAAAAAAATAAAGAATATTTTGAAATTAAGTAGGAGGGGTGGGTGAGAAACAGAACAAGGAAAATTAGCATAGAGCCCAAGTAGGTTCCATTGAGTAGGCAAACTCCATACATGAATCAGCCGGCGAGTATCAATGTGCCTTAGAGATTACAATTTATAAATATTTTAAGTAAATTTATCAGCCATGACAGGTGCAGTTTGTTGCTTCAAAAACTGAACCACAAATGATTACTTCTGCAGAGTCATCATTAAAAACCCGAGAGTATTAAAATGTGTTACTGGATACAGTAGGGGTGACATGATAACGGTGTTCCAATATTTTAGGGGCTGCCACGAAGAAGAGGGAGTCAATCTATTCTCAAATGCACCTAAAGGCAGAAAAAGAAGTAATGGGTAGAAACTAATCAAGGAGAGAAGCAACCTAGAACTAAGGATAAATTGCCCGATGGTGAAAGCAATTGATCTGTGGAACACTTTGCCACCAGAAGTTGTGGGTGCTCCAACAATGGAGGTTTTTAAGAAGGAATTGGACAGCTACTTGTCTGGTACAGGGTTTTCTGTTTGACCACAAGGTTGGACTAGAAGACCTCCAAGGTCCCTTTCTCACTCTGTTCTATAGGTAGTCCTTGACTTGCCACCATGACTGGGACTAGAACTTCTGTCGCTAAGCAAAATGCTTGTTAAATGAGCCATGCCCAATTTTATGACTGTTTGCCATGGTTATTCAGTGAATCAGTGCAGTGAATCAAATGGTTGTGAAGTGAATCCATTGACTGCTAGTCAGAAGGCATCTGGGAAGGCCACAAACGGCGATCACGTGAGACATAGCAGTTGCCAACCGCCTGAATTTTGATCATGTGATGCTGCGACGGTTTTAAGCGTGAGAACCAGTTGTAAATCACTTTTTTTCAGTGCACTGTACCTTCTGTCAGCCTCCAAGAATCCTTCTTCTGCTTATCTTTCCGGCTACCATAGAAAGAGGGGGGAGAATAATTGGACTTTGTGGCGGGAAGAGTACTGGAGGTTTAAGTTGGTAAAATGTAAAAGTTGGGATGTTTTTTTGACTATGCTAACTTGCTTACTGCGCAAATGTAGCCCCTTATCTGCCTAAGCCAAGGTAAAAAAAAATTATTAATTTTCTATTGTTTACATTTATTAGAGCTTAATAAACATCATGCTGTCTGGGTATTTAATCTGCTTAACGATACAGAATTACATTTTTAATCTCCACTCCCTTTTTTTCCAACTACTGGTAAAATAAATTCCATGTTTGATAATATCCTGCATCTTCTTTCTGTTTAATTTTCAGTGTAAGTCTATCCATTTCTGCACAATCTAGTATCTTCCTAATTGTCTCTTCATCTTGCGGTATTTCATCATTTTTCCAACATTGTGCGAATATAATCCTTGCTGAAGGTTCAAGGATATTTAGCCAGGGCTAAACATAGCTAGCTAGTATCAGCTTTGGAAGCTATACTGAGACCAGATGCTTCCACACTGCCACATTCTTGACCCTGGGAAAATGGAAGGGGGGAATTTCTTGGAGGTTATGTTAGTTAGACATAATAGCATTCTTCTTCTAAGTCAAGGTCATGTTATTTCTGCACCTGGGTGAGGGGATGTCTCAAATTGGGATGGATGGTGATTGGGGCATGTGATGCAATGAGGGGCGCGGGGGTGTGGATTTGTAGTTTTTACTTATTGCACGGAAGCCCGGAACTTTCAGATTCGGGATTCCCCAGATGTGCCAGTTTACTATCTAAATATAACAGAACTTTTGAGAAGATGTCTGTCTCGGAGTTATTGTTTGGAGTGGAGGCTTTCTGGAACGCTGACAGCTAGTTATTTTATTCCAGGAATAAGCCATGTAACATAGACGAGGCATAGTTACTATATGAGAAGGTGTGCAGAATTTACACTCATTACTTCAAATCCACCACATCTTTTTCTCTCCCCGAGAAGACTCATTCCACCCACAATCTATGTACTGATGACAAATACATTCCCATTTTCCTTGCTCTTTTATTCAGATAAATCCACCTCGTTTACGCTGACCTCTTTTGGCCTCCTATCTCCCACCTCAAATCAGTCACCAAATCCATCCACAGGACGGCTGGATGGCTGACACATCTCTACATTCATCTCCGATTTTAGAAACCTCTGACAACAGGACTGTAAAAATATGAGCTGAGCAAACCAACCTTCGATTATTCACAGTGGAAATCCAAACACTTCTTTATAGCAGTTACACATCTCCTAAGCAAAAGATTTCTTAGCTATGCTGAAGGCAGGACAAAAAGCAATGGATGGAAACTAGTCAAGGAGACAAGCCACCTAGAACTAAGGAGAAACTTCCTTAGGAGGTTAGGAGCAGGAAGTTAGACTAGAAGACCTCCAGGGTCCCTTCCAACTCTTGTTATTCTGGGGGGTTTTTTCCCGATAAATCACAACAGGCTAAGCCACCGATCCACATCATGGCTGGATTATTTCCTGACAGTGAGAACAATTAATCAGTGGAACAACTTGCTTCCAGAAGTTGTGAATGCTCCAACAATGGAAGTTTTTAAAAAGATGTTGGATAACCATTTGTCTGAAGTGGTGTAGGGTTTCCTGCCTAGGCAGGGGGTTGGACTAGAAGACCTCCAAGGTCCCTTCCAACTCTGTTTATTCTATTCTATTCTATTCTATTCTATACCTCCCCTTAGCTCCTCCACAGTTCAATTATAACTTTTGCATGCAGAAGATCCCCATCTCATTCTCCAATATTCCAACTCTATTCTACTCTATTGTTCTATTCTATTAAGTCAAATGCAAACAATAGTCACATTATGATTTAATCTGCAAGAGCTGGCCAATTTATCAACAGGAATCACGTTCCAGGCTAACATGTCTGCATGTTAGAAACGGGTATGCCATAGTATAGTTTAATTAGAACTCAATCAATCCTGAAAAATGAGCCAAATATCAAGACAGAATAACTGCAACAGGTAACAGATAATCAGAGCTGGAAGGGACCTTGTAGGTCATCTAGTCTAACCCACCGCCCAACCAGGAGACCCTACACTATTTCCGACAAATGGCAGTCCAATCTCTTCTTGAAAGCATCCAGTGATGACACTCCCACAACTTCTGAGGGCAACTTCTGTTCCATCAGTTGATTGTTCACACTGTCACTGCGTCTTGTTAGACAGATGATCCAATGTTCCAATCTGCCGAGATCCTTCTTCCTTCCAAAGTGTTTGCAATTTTCCCCAATTTGGCGTCATCTGCAAATCTGATGAGTTCCCCTTCCAACCCCTCACGCAAATGAAGCCCACAGATCTCCCGCTGACCACCAGGCTGAAGGATGGATAGATGGGAGCAAGAAAAAAAAATTGAGAAGACTTCCTGGTTTCTCTATTACCTTCCCTGGATTAGAGCGGAGGTCTCCAAATTTGGCAACCTTAAGATTATGCTGGCTGAGGAATTCTGGCATTTGAAGCCCACAAGTCTTCAAGTTGCCAAGTTTGGAATCCCCTGGGCCAGTGGTGGGATTCAAAAAAAAAACTTACTACCGATTTGGTGGGCGTGGCTTGGTGGGCGTGGCGTGGAATGGTGGCAGGGTGGGATTCGCTGCCTGGTTGCTGGGTGGGCGTGCCCATGGTGGGCGTGGCCTATGAGAACTTCCTGTTTTCGGCTTCTGATGTGCCTCCAGAGCCCGGGGGAGACTTTTTTTCGCCCTCCTGAGGTTCCGGAGGCCTCCCCAGGGCCTCTGGGAGGGCAAACACAGCCTCCCCCGGGCTCTGGAGGCCCTCCGGAAGCCAGAAATAGGTCTGTTTTCGGACTTCCGGAAGGCCCGTTTTCCCCCTCCCAGGGCCTCCATGTAGATCCTGCCGTTACCTCCATCAAAAATGGGCCACATGGAAACTCCTGGGAAGGGAGGGGAGAGCGGGGTCAGCCGGTCGATTGAAATATCAGTTCGGCGAACCAGTCTGGACCGGGACTGGTTTGCCAGAACCAGTCCGAACCAGTAGAATCCCACCTCTTCTTGATGGGTGTGTCAGGGAAAAGATACTGTAAAATCTCCATTCCACTCCCGCTCCTAGGGGAAGGTTACTGCAAAATCCCCATTCCCTCCCCACCCCACTAACCTGCTTTCCAGCTCCGTTCTCCTGTGTAGGGCAACCAAATACGACCCAGCCAATCAGCTGGGACTCAGTGGGAGGCAGAGAACAGATGGGGGCGGGGCCAGTCAGAGATGGCATTTGCCGGTTCTCCGAACTACTCAAAATTTCCGCTACCGGTTCTCCAGAACTGGTCAGAACCGGCTGAATACCACCTCTGAGAGGAAGCATGGGTTGAGTATATTAGACTTTCTCCCATCCAAGACTTGAGAGCTGATGCTGGGTGAGGACTTCTGTCCTATCTCCTACTCAAACTGGAGGAAGATACCATCAGGGCATCACTGTTCCCTGCCTCTGCACCAGCACATCATCTCTTCCAGGGGGTTACCCAGAGAGCAGGAGAACCCACCCCTTCACTACATTTGCTGAATTCTAATATGGGGTTTCAGTCAGGAACCTTCTGTTTTTAGCCGCCACAGTGTAAAAAAAGACACTGAGACTCTAGAAAGAGTGTAGAGAAGGACAACAAAGGTGATTAGAAGACTGGAGGCTAAAAGATACGAAGAACAATTGCAGGAATTGGGGACAACTAATCTAGTGAAAAGAAGGACTGGGGGGGAAATGATATCAGTATTTCAGTATTTGAGGGGCTGCCACAAAGAGGAGCAGGTCAACGTATTTTCCAAAGCACCAGAAGGCAAAACAAGAAGCAACGGATGGAAATTAATCCAGGAGGGAAGCAACCTAGAACTGAGGAGAATTATTATTTTTTTCTCACAGTGAGAACAATTAACCAGTGGGACTGCTTGCCTCCAGACATTGTGGGTACTTCAACACTGGAGGTTTTTAAGA